AGAGTATAGGCCACCGAAAGGCTACCTATGAGTGGAAGATTGGTGGAGGAATGGGAATGATTGTGGCAGCAGGAAGAATGTATTCTATTTGAGAGTGAAGCTGCTTAGGGGAAGGGGCTAGAGAAGCATAAGCATTCTAATGATGACTAGAAAACATTGAAATGGAGATGAGGTAAAGGGAGGGGGATCAGTTAATCGCGCAAACTATGGGGAAGATATATATATATATATATGTGCGTGTGAATAAAATAGGTTACTAGAAGAGGGTGGAATATCTGGTAAATGAGCAGGAAAAAGATGGCAAAATTGGGTTATGTTTATATATAAATATGTATAAAAGTAAGAACCATGAGAATGCGTGAGTTACCTGAGGAAGAAATAAGCCAGAGTATGAATGGTTATTGTTGGGGTGTCCTTGGTGAGAGTTGGTGTCAATGGTGAGGAGTTGAAATCCGATTCTCTAGTACCCTCTAGTACATGTTTGTGACATGGAAGGAAAAGTAGGAGCTAGCATTGAAAGGTATTTTTTGGGGTTGGGAAATGCTATTTCGCAGAGTGATAGCATTTTGATATGCGCTCTGCATTAAGTCTTTATACCTGTAATATAAAGAGTGAATAAGGTGACCATTTAGTTGTCATCATCTGGCCATTCAAGGGTTGACTATTTGCTTTGGGGTTTGTCGAGAATAATGCATAAATAATAATTTTGCTAGAGCTCCTATAAGTCTGAGTAACTGTGTTCAAATGCAATAGTAGAAGCTTCTAATGTTGCCTCCTGTAGTTTTGGCGGGGCTGTGGTCAAAGTATTGTGAACTTAGATGATGTGTACTTTTATTTGCGGGTTTGGTGTTCTCATAAAAATTGATGGGTTCCTGTTAAGTGAGTACCTTCTTCAACCACTTGAAATAGCATAGTAGGGGTGAGAAAATGCATATCCAAATTAAGATAGTAGAGCACATGGATATGACTGGCTGATTGAATTGCTTCATGCAGGATGTAGCAATCGAGGTATTGAAAAGCCGCAAGTTGAGCAGGTTTATACTGTAAGGTGTGTCTCATGCTTCGGCAATTGAATTCGTAAGGGAGAATTGATATTTCTAACATTCTGGAGTCTCTTCTAAGATGGAAATATCCCAAGTGAACACATACGACTTTCGTTGTGATAAAATCTCTGACCTGCTAGGAAGGACGGCTTCAATGGAATGGAGTGACAAATTAAATACAACTTTACCTCCTGTTTATGTCGGAAATGAACCGTATCGTGAAAATTGTTAATCGGGTACTGCAATTTTTACCTAGCAATTTGGAATGGCACAATGAAGAGTTGGAAATTAAATCGAAATTCTGTAGTTAGAGTAAGTAAGAGTTCCTTGGGTTCTAACTTCGTTCTCCATCTTTACTTGATTAACCGAAATTCGTGCTCCTCTCCTTCTTAGTATTTACTGACAGCTCTCTTATTTATTTTTATAAGCTTATCAACCTTCAAAAGTGGCTTTAATGCTTTTTTCAAATGGCAGGCGTTTTGATAGTTATCATTAGCCCTTTAGCTGACTTCGGGCTTCACAGGAGGAAGGAATATCAAGGTAACAGAAAGTCGAGGGGTGAGGAACAGAAGAGTGATTTACAGATGTAAAAGAGACAGGCACAAAGACAGAGAAAAGGTAGGATGAGTACTGTGAAAGTGGTATGATATGGCGTATGGTTGGGCCATTGTAGTTAGAAGCCAGTCAATTGCCAGTTAATAGACTTTTTCCCGTATGAGTATACGGTGCACAGGGTGCACCACGTGGAAGTAAGTCTATTGCATACCCTACTTTCTTGACATAATGGTTTAGTCATGTACGAATTAAAATCTCACTCATATTGACTTGTGAAATAGTACGATAATTATATAGGGCTGGTAAGCCGAAAGATTTTTTAAGGTCAATGGATGATTTATTTTACCATTCCGCGAATTTCCGTGCATAAAGGATCAGGTTAGATACATTATAATAGAAAGTTAGGCGACTTTTATTTGCGTTCACCGACCTTCAATTTGAATCCATTCTTCACTATGTAATATCTGGCATTGATCACACTGAACAAATGATGTAGTAATACTTCAATTTTTTAAATAAGCTAGATCTATTCCAATATTATCACATAATTTTTTATTTTTGCCTCGCAGTAGCAATTATTGAAAAATGACAATATGCGATCACTTGAGCCGTAGTGGTTTGGAGTTGTTTAAGCCAGTTTTATATATTTTTATTGATTTTCTGTCCTTTATGCTTTAGTAAATAAAATTTTCCGTATCCCATTTCATTTAACCGAATCTGAAAATGAGTTAGTAAAATGATTTGAGTATAGTGGAATATTGTTTGCTTGTTTATTTGTCTGTGAACACATTGTCTAATTTTATTTTTCCTGATTAGATTGGGGTTGGTTACTTGGGATTCGTATTTGTATGTCTTCATATATATATTTTTATATGAAATCGGACTTCCTTACCACATATACACTATGATTATTTTGTGAATTTTTTAACATTCAGTTTTTTCATTGCAAACAAGTAAATCTATTACAATCTACATGTATCATAGTACAAGTTATGATATTGTTAACTGCAAAAGGAAAATAATTTCTGTGATCGGTCCCATATTCTAAATTTTGCTTATTAAGACTTATGACTTTGGGAGTAATTGGTCTCTGTAATTTGAGAATTTTGGCCACTAGGGCCTTAGAATGTTACTTTGATATATTAAATGGTGAATTGATTACATCGTTGGTATCTGTACATCTAAATTTAAGAGTTAGGTTCTTACCATATTGACGTGTTATGCACGACAGGTTAATGGTTATATTACTACATAATTTACAAAGATGTGTAGTACGAACATGATGAGCTAGGACACATGAGTGAGAGTTTAGACCTAGTCATATCAGATTTAAAGGATTTAGATTTACTTGCTTTTCCTAAGTAGTTTTTGTTATATTAAATTTTTTATTTTATATTTGGCTTTGAAATGCTTATTTATTTATATCAAATGGCAGGTGTTTTGATAGTTATCATTAGCCCTTTAGTTGACTTCAGGATTCAGAGAGAGAGGAGTAACATCATAGCCATAAAAAATCAAAAGAGGGAACAGAAGAGTGATTCACAGATGTAAAAGATAGCCACAGAGGGAGAAAATAGGTGAGGTGAATAATGTGGAAGTAGTTGAATATGACACACAGTGGGGTGATGGTAGTTTGAAGTTAGAAGTCAACTGCCAGTTAATAAATCATTTTGCCTTATGAGTATACGTTGCCCAGGGTGTACCACGTGGAGAGAAGTCTATCGTACAGCACGGATATATGATATTTATCATTAGCCCTTAAACTTTGACTTCGGCTTCCCCCAAGGGTGGGGGGGGGGGGTGCATTTATAGCAGTTCATTAGCTGTCTTCTTGCTTCCCAGTATCTCTGGCTTTCCGTCCTTGTCTTTAGAGCTGGACACCGAATCAGGTGGGTCTTCACCATTTCCTCCTGTGGGTTACATAGAGGACAGGTGAGTTGAGTGTATACTCCCAATCTGTGAAGGTGTTTTATCAAGCAATCGTGTCCAGTACGAAGTCTTAACTCAGCAACGGCTTCGATTCTCGGCCAGTCGGCTATATCGGAGAGTGCCACTGTCCACTGTTTCTCATTTGTTCGAGCTTTAAGTTTGTTGCACCTTGAGGTCTGTAATTCTCTCCTGATTAAGGCCTTCATTGTGTGAAAGACATCTGCCGGTCTATGCATTGCAAAATCTTTGTCTCCTTCTTAGCAAGTGTGTCAGCAAGCTCATTGCCTTTAATGCCACAGTGACAAGGAATCCATTGTAGGACCACCGCTTTGTTTTTCTCTCTCAGCAGCTCATAGAGTTTTCTACATTCCTTTATCTCAGCTGTTTTGGGTGGTTCTCTGCATCCAATTGAGTTTAATTCTGACTGTGAGTCCGAAAGTATCACCGCTTTTGGTGAACTTCGTATCCAAGCAACTTAATTGGCATAGTGCTATCCTAATGGCCCCTATTCCTCCTTCAAAAGCGGATCTATTGTGTGCTGCTGCTGCGTAGAAAGAGAAGAGTTCAGAATAGACACCTGCACCAACGTTTGCTTGGTTTTCTATGTATGACCCATCAGTGAAGACGTGGAGCCATTGATCTGCAGGATAGTTGACATTGATTGTCTCAAGGGCCAGTGAGCGCATTTGCTCTGGAGGAATGTTTGATTTCCTGAAGTAGTCAAGCAGTTGGGTGCAACACACTACATCAGTGTCTGATAATGGGTTCATGGGGAGAGAGAGGCTTTTTGGTTTGTCATCGATTTGTAATTCTTTCTTCAGTTCTATGGCTTTCTGCATTAGACCACATTGCGTTTTCAGATGTCTTGGTCTATTCTCATAGGTGCTGAAGAACTTATCCATGGGAATGCTCAGTAGCTTCTCATAGATGATCAAGGCCTTTTTTTTGATGAGGGGACCTATTGTGGTGCTTCCTGTAACTAGGAGCATTGCATCAATGGGTGTTGATTTTATCCCTCCAGTAATTAGTCGTAATGCTTGGTTGTGTGTCTTCTCGAGTGGTTTGAGAGTCACCTCTGTGGCCGTGGTGAGTGGCTCACAGCAATACAGCATTATTGGCTGAATAAACATCTTGTAAGTGGTGTTGAGAGTTGAGCGTGCACAGCCCCATACGCTACCAGCAAGACGCTTCAGGACGTTCAGTCTATTGGAGACTCGTTTTGTTGAAAAGCGTCAGCATGGTTTCCTTGGCTTTTGGTTCCATTCTATTTAGAAATTCCGGGAGAATACCGTCTTCGCCAGGAGACTTTTTGCACTTTAGTTGTTTTATCGCTGCATTAAGTTCGTAAGGTCTGAATGGTTCAGCAAGTACATTATTTGATTTGACTTCTATTTATTATGGTTTAAAATATCTATATTATTAAATATGTCTGAGAATGAATTTTTATTGATTAACTTTTTCTTTTACTATATTTTATAAGTGGACTGTGGCACTCTCCGACATAGCCAACTGGCCAAGAATCGAAGCCGTTGGTGAGCTTAGACTACGTACCGAATACGATTGCCTGGCAAAATACCTTCACAGATAGGGAGTATACACTCAACCAACATGCCCCCCTATGTAATCTACATTAGGAAATGGAGAAGACATCGATGGACACCCAGAGGTACTCGGAAGCAAGAAGACAGCCAATGAATTGCTATTACTTAACCGATATATATGTACTCCCCACCCATGGGGAAAGCTGAAGTCGAAGTTTAATGCCATTTGAAATAATAATGATATTTTATAAGTATCTTAATTGTTGAATTTTAATGTTCGTTGAAGTTAATAAGTTGATCAAATTTATAACATTACTACTAATAATTTTTTGTCAGTTTGTTAGCTAACTTTCTTCATTAGAAAAAATTGGATTAAGTTATTTTGGATTTGATGCTTTCAAAATGTTCAGAGATTGTTGTTAAAGCATGTGGTACACGTCATCGTTTAACACGCCATCTCATGCACGCACGCACGCCAGGATCGGGAGGTGCGGCCGTACAACTCCGCGTGCAGCAACCGTACAACCAGTGGCCAATCAGAAGCCTTCGTTTGTTTAACCTTATCAGACATGCTGATTATGATTAAGCTCCCTTCGTGTCACTTTACCCACATTATACTTTCTGAATAAACGCGTCCCGTGCGATACGCCTGTTTCCTCTAAAGCTGGGCTGTAGCTTAACTAGATCTGGGAGTCGAGGTAGATGTAGGAGAATCTGCCACAGCGATTTCTGAGTCAGTGAGGCTTTACTAGTGTAGCATCTTATGAGCACATACACTCACATGCATACGTATGACACTAGATCATAAGCTCATAGGTATAATTTATACATAGTTAGGTGTATGAGTTGGCTTTATAGGCTGATGATAAATAAAATTTTTGGAGCTTATTCTAAAGTTATTCCTTCAGTTTGGTATACGTTTTTAGTTACTAGTCATTGCATAATAATGATTTTCTTTTATTTGATGAGTGGATTTGGTAATTATTTGTTACCTATATTGAGCGACTTATCCGATCTTAATCTATTTCATTTAAAGCTTCTATTATATTTTTGATTATTAGAATTAGAGTTGGATGAACTCTTTATCTTCACCATCTTTTTCTTTATTTCCAATAGGAAAGTAAAGGAATGTCTTCTTCACATTTGGCTGTTGTATATAAAATTTAAAGTTCTATAAACTTTATTTGTTCATTTTTTACTAAAGTTTTGAGCGTACTATTGCGAGCTTAATTATTTACTTCTACTATTTGATCTTCCGTCAGCGATCATAACAAGTAGAAAGAACCGGTTCTCGTCCGATCACCCAAGTTAAACCACGTTGGGCCGGGTTAGTACTTGCATGGGTGACTGGGTGATAACACGCGGTGTTGCTGACGTACCCCCACGTGGTGCACCGTGGGCAACGTATACTCATACGGCAAGACATGTGTATAAACCGGCAGTCGACTTCTGACTCGTAACTACCATGACCCCCCTGGTTGTCATATCCGACCACTCTCACAGTACTCACCTTACCCTTTCTCTGCCCTTGTGTCCCTCTGTCTCTTTACATCTTTGAAACTCGACTTTTTTCACTTTGATATTCCTTCCCCTCTGTGAAGCCTGTTGTCAAATAAAGGGCTAATGATAACTATCAAAACGCCTGTCATTCGAAATAAGCTAATTATTTAGTCTTCCTGTGTTGGCAGAGGCTATAAAAATGTTTTTATTTAATCTTAATTTTAGTTCTCTCCTTTTTGATTCATTGAGTTGTGGTGATCTGGTTTCATTCCAAAATATTTTGTTGATTTTCTTGCCTTGTTTTGAAATTAGAGGTCACATATGTTTAAGGTTAAGATTAACACCAGATGCTTTTAGTTTTTTATGATTTATTATTCGCTATGTTTTCTATTGTGTGCCTAGGATGTAGGGTTTGAGCTAAACACACATTTAGAGGTACATTTTCTAGTTCTGTCACTAAGATTATTGTTGTGCCGTTGTCACTTGATTATACACGCTTTCAACTTCTTTGGCTAATAAGAGTACTCCAGATGAATAGTATTTTCTATTGTTTTATTTAGATTTGGAGGTGGTTGAGGGAATAATGTTTATTTAGTCACTGTTGAAGCATAATAATATAAGTTGGCTTTTATGTTCCTCTCCCTCTGTGAAGCCTGAAGTCAACTAAAGAGCTAATGATAAGTATCATAAAGCCTGCTATTTGATATAAGTTGGCTTCAATTTATACCTTTTTCTTGGTTTGTGTAGTTTACCTGGTCGCGTGTGTGTTTTTATGAGGTTGACTACAAAGGCGCTAATTTAATTTGTACTGTGCTTTCAATTATGACAGCATTTAGGGCATGTTTCTTTGCATTTATTGAAAGAGAATCATTAATTTATGAACCGCCTTCGTATTTAAGAAGTTGAATTCGCTTGGGCCTTATAGCATGTCATAATGATTGTTTTACATATAGAATATATGCGTAAAAGTAACATAAATAAGCAATATTATCAAGTATTGTATTGTTTTACCAAAGGAGAATAATAGTTATATAGTCACTACATTGGTTTAGAAACCCACTAAAGCGATAAATTTAAATAATACGGAGATTGCGTGATATATAGTCCCCCTATCAAATACACACTTAGGCTGTCAACTTCCTTACTCCATCCTATTTCGAATTGCTACACTAGCGAAGTCCTGTCTGACTCAGAAATCGCTGTGGCAGATTCTCCTACATCTAGCTAGCCTCCCAGACCTAGCTAAGCTACATCCCGGCTATTGGGGAAACAGACGTATCGCACGGAACACGTAAAAATGTACATGCCGGAATGTTGGTCATAACCAAAATGGCGGATTCGCTTAAACAACCGATGGCTTCTGTTAGACGATGGCATACCCCGCAATTCCTCCCCCCAGAGCATTTGTAGTTATCTAAGATACAAAGAAATGTTCGAAAAATACGAAAAAGATGAATGTACAAAATGAACTAATTGAGAGGGGAAGGTAACACTTCGGCTACAACGAGTATTACAAGGAGATTATCTGTAATGTCCACCTTATGCTAAATTCAGAAACTTCACTTTAACTGTGAAGCGAATTAAAGTATAGTAGGGAGAGGAAGAATAAGAGGAGGAAGAGGAAGGGAAGGGGGTGGAAGAAGCAGAGAGATTTGGATTCATATTATTCATGAACGATTCGAACAAGAGACATTTAAATCAGACAATTGAGATTTGTGGTTGAATGAGGCGATAACAACAGAGCAGCTGCACTTGTCAGTAGTTTTGCGCACCTCATCAAGTAGCCTCTGGCCTTCATTCTCTCCCCTCCTTCCATCCTACTTACTCCGTGCATATCTCCAATGCCCTACCACCAGGTATTTTGGACCTTGGCACATTTACTCAAGGCCTCTCTTGGCCACATGGTTGTTGGATGGTGGATGGAGAGGGGAGATGTGAGTGAGAAATTGGAGAACTCGGCGGTGGATAATTTCAACGCTATACACTGTGATACGAATATTAATCTCCATCGCTCTCCATATCACGATATTTCTCTCTCATTCACCCCCTCTATCTCTCTTATCTGTGTTCAGCCATGTTGAACTATTGTTACCTCGAGACTAAAATAAGCCTCAAATTATAGTGGCAGGTTTTAATATGACGTGGCTTGGAAGGTGAAATGTGAAATTATTATGTCGATAATGTGTATTGAGAGATAATTAGATATTCCATTAAGTTAACAGTTAGTTATAACATAGAAACATAGAAAAAATATACCTCTGTTGTGGGAAGGAGTACGATTGAAGAATTGCCCAATGGAGAATCGAGGTGATTTTGAATTGAGAGATAAATAGTTTCTTCTCTATAAAAGTCCTGGATTATGTTCAAGGCGTTGGCTTTTTGCCTTTTAGCCTAAATGACTGGAGGCCTGAGCTGTCTGAAAAGGTCTTTCAAAATGCGAATATAGGATGGTGGTGGACGTTGAATATTATCATTATTATTATTTCAAATGACAGGCTTTGTGATATTTATCATTAGCCCTAAAACTTTGACTTCAGCTTCCTCCAAGGGTGGGGGGGGGTGCATTAATAGCCGTCTTCTTGCTTTCCATTATCTCTGGCTTTCCGTCCTTGTCTTTAGGGCTGGACACCGAATCAGGTGGGTCTTCACCATTTCCTCCTGTGGGTTACATAGGGGCACGTGGGTTGAGTGTATACTCCCAATCTGTGAAGGTGTTTTATCAAGCAATCGTGTCCAGTACGAAGTCTTAACTCAGCAACGGCTTCGATTCTCGGCCAGTCGGCTATATCGGAGAGTGCCACTGTCCACTGTTTCTCATTTGTTCGAGCTTTAAGTTTGTTGCACCTTGAGGTCTGTAATTCTCTCCTGATTAAGGCCTTCATTGTGTGAAAGACATCTGCCGGTCCATGCATTGCAAAATCTTTGTCCCCTTCTTAGCAAGTGTATCAGCAAGCTCATTGCCTTTAATGCCACAGTGACAAGGAATCCATTGTAGGACCACTGTTTTGTTTTTCTCTCTCAACAGCTCATAGAGTTTTCTACATTCCTTTATCTCAGCTGTTTTGGGTGGTTCTCTGCATCCAATTGAGTTTATTTCTGACTGTGAGTCCGAAAGTATCACCGCTTTGATGAATTTCGTATCCAGGTAGCATAATTGGCATAGCGCTATCCTAATGGCCTCTATTTCTCCTTCAAAAGCGGATCTATTGTGTCCCACTGCTGCGTAGAAAGAGAAGAGTTCAGAATAGGCACCTGCACCAATGTTTGCCTGGTTTTCTATGTATGATCTATCAGTGAAGACTTGGAGCCATTGATCTGCAGGATAGTTGACATTGGTTGTCTCAAGGGCCAGTGAGTGCATTTGCTCTGGAGGTGTGTCTCATTTTCTGAAGTAGTCAAGCAGTTGAGTGCTACACACTACATCAGTGTCTGCTAATGGGTTCATGGGTAGAGATAGGCTTTTTGGTTTGTCATCGATTTGTAATTATTTCTTCAGTTCCTTGGCTTTCTGTATTATACCAGATTGTGTTTTCAGATGTCTTGGTCTATTCTCATAGGTGCTGAAGAACTTATCCATAGAGGATCAAGGCCTTTTCTTTGATAAGGGAACATTTTATGGTGCTTCCTGTAACTAGGAGTATTGCATCAATGGGTGTTGATTTTATCCTCCCCATTAATTAGTCGTAATGCTTGGTTATGTGCCTTCTCGAGTGGTTTGAGAGTCATCTCTGAGGCTGTAATGAGTGGCTCACAGCAATACAGCATTATTGGCTGAATAAACATCTTGTAAGTGGTGTTGAGAGTTGAGCGTGCACAGCCCCATACGCTACCAGCAAGACGCTTCAGTAAATTATGTCTATTGGAGACTCATTCTGCTATTTTAGCAATGTGACTTTTCCACGTTAGCTTTGGGTCAAACGTTATTTTTAGATAAGTGAACTCATTGGTTTTTTCTATGGTAGTATCCTTGTACCTTAGAAGCGGGTTTATGCTGTGACGGGCCAATAAAATGTTTGGAATGCAGTTGTTGCGGTGTTAATTACCATTCCATTGTTTTCGTGCCAGTTAGCTAGTAGTTTATGTGCACCATTTAGAGCACTTTCAGTCCTCTCCTGAGCGTTTTTCTTAGGGACGGAATACCATACAGATCATCTGCGTAAAGTAAGCACTTGGTGCCCGTGAAAAATCATTGTGTAAAATAAGCAGTTGATGATCGTGACTGTCTGTACCAATTCGGCTATGTCATTGATGAACCCTGTGAAAGGCCTGTTTGTAAAGGATTGGATTTTGATAGAGCATTTAAGCTGTTTGTAAAAGATTGGATTTTGATAGAGCATTTCCAACCTGTTTGCAAAAGATTGCATCTGATAGATCATTTCCATATCTGACTTTACATGATCTTTGTACATCAAGACCTGTTTGTAAAAGATTGGATTTTGATAGAGCATTTTGTATCCCTTTACATGATCTTTGTCCAATGAGTGCTTTTATCCAGTTTGGCATGCTATACTTAATACCAATCTTTGCCAATTTTAGAATTACCTTCTCTATCCATACTAAGTCCTATGCTAATTTGAAATCAACGTAAACATCCGTAAGAGTATTTCTTGCATCAAGGGAATCTTTGATGTGTTGGGAGAAAGTAGCTACTTGTTGGTTCGTTGATCTTTGCGGCCTAAAACCTGCTTTTTCACTCCTAAGAATATTGGTGGTCACAAGAAATCAAGTCAGCCTCCTGTAAATTATTCTTTCCATAAGTTTAGTCAACACGCTTGTGATGGAGATAGACTTATAGTTGTCAAAG